TAAAGGTACCGGGGATACAACAGGCAGAATAAATTGTGTGTTTAAAGTGACACTGTAGGCACTATAACCATTTTGTACAATTGAATTAGGTATATATAACATAATAATTATGTCCCCTGGCACTGTTCCTCCATTAAGTGTTGCAATTTTCATACAGTTTAACACTGGCCTCCCATAGCCCTGCCCCCACTGGAGGCGTGGCTAAGACAGAGATTTAACACTTCCTTCTAGCCAATTCGATTCATACCTGAATGGACACTGTGATAGGCTGAAAGCAGTCAGCTGACACTCCCAGCCAATCAAAGTCTAGCAGCACAGAGGGGATGCGCTACTGGTAAATCTCATATAGCATTAAAAAATGTTTAAGAGACATACGTTGGTGCCAGGGGACTCGGACACTATAGCCACTTCAATAAGATGATGCAGTTACAGTGACTACAGTGTCCCTTTAACTGAGAATAGCACCATGCTACTCAGGACAGTAAAGAGCACAATGGTGCTTTTTAGAGGGAACCTTGGCACCTAGGCTGGTTTAATTAGTCAACGAATGGGCTAATCTCTGCCTGTCATTCAATCTACCTTTGACATTGCTCATTCGGATTCAAATAAATGTGACACTATAGTGCCTGAGGGTGCCCCCACCCTCAGGGTCCCCCTCCCAGGGCGCTGAAGGGGTTAAAACCTCTTCAGCAGCTTACCTTATTCCAGCGCTGGTGACCTCTCCTCCCCCGCCGACATCAGCTCCCTCTGCCAACGTCAGCAGAGCTGAATGCTCATGGGCGGCAGTGCCGGGCACGCATTCAAAGTGTTCATAGGAAAGCATTTCTAAATGCTTTCCTATGGAGGCTCTGCGTGATGGAGGCATAATATGCGTCCAGCGTCACGGATGCACCTCTAGTGGCTGCCCGGAAGACACCAGAGGCTGGATTAATCCTGAAACTGCTATGTTTACATCTGAAGGGCTAAAACCTGAGGGACCTGGCACCCAGACCACTTCATTGAGCTGAAGTGGTCTGGGTGACTATAGTGTCCTTTTAAGTTACCGGTATCACTTTTTATGGTTACCTGTTTTACCTAATCATAAATTGTATGTATCTATATGTCTGTGAAGATATATCACTTTATGCACTTTCTATAGGGATATATATTTTGTTAAATTTTTAAATAAAGTTTATAACTTTTAATCTTTTTTAATCTATCCAATTAAAGTTTTGTTTTTTATTATGATGATTCAAGGAATATAGAGTTGGATCTTAATATTCCCTTTGAAATGTGTACACTTGTGTATACACTGAATATTAGACAAGATGCACTTTACAAATACTTTTTTTCTGATGTATTTTCTCTGTGTATTTTTTTTCCCATACTATATTTCATAATGAATATGGAAGACACTTATGCACAGGAAGTCTGCCCAGTTTGCAGAGTAAGGAAGGGGAGGGAGGTGTGCACACCGAAGGCTGACACAATTTACGGCGCAGTTGGAGTTCGGAACTGAAGGATTGAGAATTGCATGAAGTCAGTTTTGGTAGTCTTGGCCATTTAACTAAGGGAACAAGACGCTGCAACTGTTTGACCAATGGGCAAGATGCCCCCAGGTATGTCTGGGTAGGGGGTGGTATGCCCTGAACAGTTAACTAATCATAACCAGATGTGAAAGAGGGCAGGATGTCTGAAGAAGCCATTGGATTGGTTACAGCACACCCACGTGACCGGCGCATGGGTACAAATATGAATTAATGCTGGGATCATGTTATATCCGACTGAGGAAGCTTGAGAGAGAGTGAAACGCATTTTGGCATTAGTTTGATGGACTTTTTTTATTTTCTAAGTGCAAGATTGCTTTTATATTATTTGTGATTAGCTGTTGTAGCATATTTTTATAATATCCATTGTCCATTGTCCTATCCTGACCTCTGGTTCCAGGAATCATCTCTTAAACTCACTAAATGGCAACAGGTAGAGTCAGGATCCACAGAAAAGGTGAGCTCAATTTATCTTTTTCCTTTGAGTGTACAAAAGTTTATACATACTACACTATTGGAGTTCTTTCTTTTTTCGTCCTCATTTCCAGCTTGATATCCTATCAATGGGAAGGTGTGCTGCTGCCTGAAAAGATAACTGCGCTACTTACTGAGCCAGCAAGTTCAGGATCAGATTCATGTGACTGAGTCTATTTGCCCCAATATATAAAAAATCTCTATTATAACCATCTATACTATATTTTTTTTCTTTCTTTTTTTTTTATATGTATGGTATATATCCTTGCCTCTTCCCTAATATAAGGGTAAGCACAATGCACAATTGTTAGCGTTCCACTGTGTTCACTTGTGTCACATTTTACTAAGTTAAACTTTAGATTTTTTCTGTGGGTGTTCATATAGAATAATGCCAATAGGGCATTATTCTATTAACTATGAAAAAGGGCTGAAGAAACACTTTCATTCTGCTGTGTTCTGTTCCTACTGATACGTCTCATAAACTACGACAATCTGTCACTGAATAGGAGAATCATTTTCCAGAGATGAGGTGGCTGACAAGCTTTCACTTTAATATCCTTCCATAAAGAAGGAGAAATTCATTACTAAACCAAGTTATGTGAAACCACCTACAGGTGCTAAAAATGAAACAATGTACAAGAGACAACAAAACAGAAAAAAAGTCTGAAATCTGCTAAGAAATCACCGTAACTGACAGTTCTCATTAGGAAGCAGTAAATCAATAAACCATATAACGTGTAGCCCATATACTGCAAAGCAAATTGGAAAACCTGCATCAGACACACATAGCACCACCTAGAATCACCTGCCTTATATAAACCTAGCTAGTGAAATAAATCTTTATACCGTCTTAAAATATAACAAATGGAGAAAGAAAAAAAAAACAACCATTTTTTCATCATAGAAACACCGGCGATCATAAAAAAACAAAGAGGAAAAAAAATAGCTGCTTGGCTAAATTATGTGGTCAAATAATTCATCACATTGAAAGAATGTGTGTGATGGCAGTGTGGTTACTTTGTAGTTACTGTATATACTCGAGTATAAGTCGACCCGAATATAATTTTACCCAAAAAAACTGGGAAAACATATTGACTCGAGTATAAGATTAGGGTGGGAAATGCAGCAGCTACTGGTAAATTTCTAAATAAAATTAGATCCCCCAAAAATTATATTAATTGAATATTTATTTACAGTGTGTGTATATAATGAATGCAGTGTGTGTGTGTGTATATAATGCAGTGTGTGTATATAATGCAGTGTGTGTGTGTATGAATGCAGTGTGTGTGTGTATTAATGCAGTGTGTGTGTGTGTATGTGATGCAGAGTGTGTAACCTTGGTGGGGGTGGGCATTTTTATTATTTATTTTTTTATTATTATTTTAATATTATTATTATTATTTTTAAATTATTACATTTTTATTTTATTTTATTATAATATTATTAACATTTTTATTTTATTTTATTATACTAATATTAAATTTTTTATTTTATTATAATATTATTAACATTTAAATTTTATTTTTTTAGCCCCCCTCCCTGCTTGATACATGGCCAGGGAGGGGGGCTATATTATTCCCTGGTGGTCCAATGGATGGGCTGTGCAGTGGGGGTGCTGGCAGCGAGCTGTTACCTTTACAGCAGCTCCTGTCAGCTCCCTTCTCCTCTGTTCCGGTCAGCTCCACTGTAGGTCTCGCGGTCTGTGTGCCGCATGGAGCGTTGCCACAGTAATCTGTGGCAACGCTCAGACGCCGCATCTCTCGCAAGACTTACAGTGGAGCTGACCGGAACAGAGGAGAAGGGAGCTGACAGGAGCTGCAGGAAAGGTAAGTAAATGCTTCCTGCCGGCCCCCAATAGGACCGCCGGGCTTGTAATGAGCCCGGCGGTCCTGGTCTGTATTATGGCAATGTAAGTTGCCATAATACAGACATTGACTCGAGTATGAGACAAGTGGGGGTTTTTCAGCACAAAAAAATGTGCTGAAAAACTCGTCTTATACTCGAGTATATACGGTAATAAAAAAAAATTATTATACAATTATACATGTGTTGTGTTACCAGTTTTGCATAAATTCGCTTTGAAGAAATGTGTTTAAGTAATGCATAGCAAGGAGCAAACCAGTGGACACAGAGGATACCTATCGACAGACAAATTCATTAAAGGGGTGTCTGTCCTGTTGGTATTAATGTGATGCGGAGTAGGCTATGGCGAGGTAGCGTTGACCACTTAGTGCACTTGCTGTAGAGCTCTCACGTGTCCATATACTGGTGGCTGGATCCAGAAAGTGAATCACCCACATCCGTCATCAGTACAAAAGTTCTGGGAGCTTTGCAGTCAGTGAACAGTGATCCCCGCAGCCGCCCAGTTGACCCCAGGGAACGAAGTTCCATTTCAGTCCTCCCCGAGAAAGTAAGAAGATTGAGGGACCTCATTATATTAAACAGAAATAAATAAATACAAAAAAAATGAAATGCGAGTTTATATAAACGTGTGTTTGGAATGTGTCGCTTTTTATGTTCTATTTGTCCTTTTTTCTCTGACTTTCTACAACCGGTAAATTTAAATACTTTTGCTGCCTATGAGTGGAGTAGACAGTGTGTACATTTGGCACTACAGTTTTAATTAACTTTAATCAAGTTTGAGAAAGGCATAAGGCCGAAACATGAGGCTGTGGTCTCCAATCTTTGGGCAATGTACTTAAGGTAACATTTATAGATATATAATTTTAAACACATTTGGTTTTGTTTTGCATTCATATGTCTACTGACAAATTTCAACAACTTTCAGGTCCACTGAGTACCTGCCGATTTGAGCACATAAAGGAAATTGAAGATCAAGTATATATTTTTTTCTATTTGATTTTTTTAAAAACCTCCATAAAGCATTAACAAAAGCTATTTAGTTGTTTGAAAACAAAGCAAGTTTTATTAAATTTAAATGAAACTTTTGAAAAGAATTCTTTTATTGTTTCAAATGTGATAAATCATTGACATTTTAATGAAAAATTTGATGTATGGATTCTGCGTTCAGTTTATGGCCCATTAAAAATACATTAAGCTGGTTTCAAGCCTCCAACGATTTGAAAGAAATTGTATTTATCAGAAACATCGTGAGTAAATATAACTCCATAATATAGCAGAGCTTACAAAAAATATTGATTACTCATTAATCAGACAATACGTTTGATGAAAAATAGGAACCTGTGTACGGAAATAAGAAAATAACATGAATCAAAGGTCTATCTAAACATGACTTCCACATGGGTTGGTTGGACTTGTCCAATCATAAATATAGTCTTTTCAAAAAATGATTCCAGACTCCGGGTCCTTATACTGGCTAAACCAATGCTTGTTCTATTGACATCGATTTATTTTTATTTATTTTCATAATGTAAGATTCTAATCAATACCCAGAGTAGTGTTGTATTTGTGAGCAGCGTTTGTGAGTTTGAATGTAATCATGATATTAATTATATTGTTTAAATATGATGTATATTGTTTTTCTTTTTAAATCTCACTTTTTACCTGGTTGAGCAGCCATGTTGGGCAGACTGTCATTTGACCAATTGCTGCTCAACATAAGTTGCCTGCCGCTGCTATTGCTCTGTGTAAAACTGCAGCAACGGGTAAGTTAGGTTGAGCAGCAGTTGGTCGGATAGAAGTAGAGTCTGACACAAAATGGCTCCTCACCTAGATAAAAAAGTGAAATGTTGTAGAAAAAAATACATTGTTTAAAAAAAGTTTCAATAAATGTAATAAACTTTAAAAAAACAAAACAAGAAGGGAAAATGTCATGTTGTCCTTTTAAGATCCACCGGGTGCTTGCTTCCGCTTCAGACTAAACAAAAAACACAAAGCTCCCTAATTTGGTACCCTTATGTGGGATTGCCCTATTTAAGTATAGCAAATTGGAGTACTGTTTAGCAGATAGCTCCCTAATTTGGTACCCTTATGTGGGATTGCCCTATTTAAGCATAGCAAATTGGAGTACAGTTTAGCAGATAGCTCCCTAATTTGGTACCCTTATGTGAGATTGCCCTATTTGAGGATAGCAAATTGGAGTACTGTTTAGCAGATAGCTCCCTAATTTGGTACCCTTGTGTAGGATTTCCCTATTTAAGGATAGCAAATTGGAGTACTGTTTAGCAGATAGCTCCCTAATTTGGTACCCTTGTGTAGGATTTCCCTATTTAAGGATACCAGATTAGGGCACTTTTTAGTAGATAGCTTCATAACAAGGTACCCATATGTGGGATTGTCCTATTTAAGATTACCAAATTAGGTCGCTGTTAAAGGACCACTATAGGTACCCAGACCACTTCAGCTTAATGAAGTGGTCTGGGTGCCAGGTCCAGCTAGGTTTAACCCTTTTTTCAGTAAACATAGCAGTTTCAGAGGAACTGCTATGTTTACATTAGGGTTAATCCAGCCTCTAGTGGCTGTCTCATTGACAGCCACTAGAGGCGCTTCCGTGCTTCTCGCTGTGATTTTAACAGTGAGAAGACGCCAGCGTCCATAGGAAAGCATTGAGAATGCTTTCCTATGAGACTGGCTGAATGCGCGCGCGGCTCTTGCCGCACATGCGCATTCAGCCAATGACGGAAGAAGAGGGAGGAGAGTCCCAGCGCTGGAAAAAAAGGTAAGGGATTAACCCCTTCCTCCCCCTTCAGCACCACGGGAATGGGACCCTGAGGGTGGGGGTACCCTCAGGGCACTATAGTGCCAGGAAAACAAGTATGTTTTCCTGGCACTACAGTGGTCCTTTAAGTATATTGCCCTATTTAGGATACACTGTTTTTTTGTACTATTTATCACTTACATGAATGTGGTCTGGGCAATGCCATGTATGCTGTCTTTTATTAAATAAATCATAACCCTGATGGAACTGTTTCTGATATAATTTTTTTGGTGGCTTCAAGAGTGCAGTATGGATATATTTTGTTTGCATTGTTTTTTAGCTTTGCGATTCCTGACTATGCTAAGTTCCAGTATCCTGACCTAGTTTGTTTATCTGTTTATGCTCCTCTAAGCCTGGTCACCTCTAAGGACTAGTAATAAATTTTCCAGTGTCAAATTGCCTTTCCTGTCTTTCCAAATAGCTACTGATCTAAACTCAGCAGATGAATATAGGGGTGCTCTGTTTGATAAAGGTGTCAAAAAATATTTTTTATACAAATTATATTGATTTTACTCCTCTATAGTAGGGTACCTGTTCTTACGACCAAGGAGGACAAAATCTTAAAAAACAATTTTACAGGAAACCAAAGTGTATGGACAGCACTCGACTTTATTGACCCAATACCAGCAAGTATCATCAACAGAGAAAATGTAACAATACAAAGTAAACACAGATATATAATATTTTAATGGGGAAAATGGTGACATAAACAAAATAGCATATTTAAATCATTATCAAGGCAGTGTTAGATATTTTCTTTGTGCATTTCCTATTCTGTAAATGTGCATGAAACCTCTGCAGAACAGCTTCCCTCCTATAAAATCTAATTTTATATTCGATATTAGGGGAATATTTAAAAGAAAAACGGCAGGAATAATAAACAATAAATCCAGTCCAAGCCAGTTTATCCTGCGTGATGGTTAGTCAAGAGCTATTTAAATACATACATAGTGAGCTTTATTTGTAAGAAACTGTGCAAATAAATCGAGTAAATAAAATGCAAAATAAAAAGCTGTAAATCAGTTGTTTTTCCCTTTGTACAATTTGCAGTTAATTGCTGTGATAGATAATTGTCCAATCAATAGAAAACGAGCAGCAAAAGGGAGCACAACAACCGTTTCTCCGGGCGTCTCTGATTGAGGTTAACTTGAAGAGGGCACGTGACAGAAAACTAGACGTTAATCTGTTTTCTGAGCTCACTGTGTTGCTATTTTATTAGCCTGTGTCTTAATCATGTTTTTGTTTTCCTGGAACCGATTTTGATGTACAGCAGATACAATACATAGGATTTATACTCTCATAATTCTGTTGCTGATGGCCCCGGGCAGCGTGTAAAAGAACAGGACCAGGAAGAGAGTAAGGATAAGTAACACCAGCCCAATAATGATGTATTTCTTGTAATTCCTCCAGATCAGGTAATAGAGGCACTTGAAAGGATTCATAAACCAGGAAAAGGAGGTGTCTGGACGGCTGGAAAAAAACGGGAAAACATTAATTACACCATGGATTCTTAATTGGAATGAAAATATGTAGAGTGAGTTTTTTGGTCAAAATCCCTCATTTTCGTTTTATTATTGCTGCAAACTAGTAAACTTCATTTTTACTGCCCAACAACTCAAGTGACAAAAATATAAAAAATAAATACAACTGTAAGTGTTTGACAAGCACACGGTATAACATATTGGCACATTCTAAAAGAAGAGCTTCCAAAAAAGCTAAAACCTCTGGTGTAAATTGGCATCTAAGAATATTATTAAATACGAGAAGCATAACTTGGTTCTAAAACCACATGGAGCTCAAAGCGTTTGCCCTTTGCTCCAAACCACACCTGAAGCCCATTCTAAACTCACCCGCCCCCCCTTGTCCCTCTCGGTACTATGCTGTATGTGTCCGTATTCACCCTCATTGTGACTCTAGTTCTGCATGTGGGGAAACTGCCCCTAGAGTCAACCCTTAATGTCTGCCAATTTACAACTTTCTGAGATAAAGAACTGTAAACCTTTGTAACCAATTTAATAGTTTCAACCCTTTGACCGCATGGTGATGCTTGGAGCTACATTGTAATAATTCTTCATCAATAAGTGAACTAAGGTCATAAACATTCATTATACCTATGGCCATTCAGGTTTGGAGTTAAATAGCAATGGATAGAGCTAGCAATAGCTCACCTTGGCACAGGTGTCTCATGTTCATTTCCAATTACTTTATAGTGACACACTCAATGTAAACTCACAGAAAGGAAATTATACATCAAATGGATTGAACGAGTAAATTCTTCAATCCCTCCCTTGCTGTGTAGGGGAATGTTATAGATGTAATTATAGTCAAACTTATTTTGTGCCACAGGGACTGGTCTTCAATTTATCGTGGCCTTTAGTTAGTTGGCAGTTCATTATAAATAAATGGGAAGAAAGAGATGACCTTTATAGAAATATAATGGAATCTTTTTTTCAGGGAGACACCTGCATTGTTTTAGCACAGAGCACGCGAATACTTGAAACAGAAAATACCTCGACGTTGAGACTTTGTGGATGTTTGACAAAGGACAGAGAAGTTGAAATTATTATTATTATTATTATTATTATGTTGTTATTATTATTGTTATTATGTTATTATTTATATAGCGCCAACAAATTCCGCAGCGCTTTACAATGGGTGGACGAACAGACATGTAGTTGTAACCAGACAAGTTGGACACACAGGAACAGAGGGGTTGAGGGCCCTGCTCAATGAGCTTACATGCTAGAGGGAGTGGGGTAAAATGACACAAAATGTAAGGATAGTATTAGACTAGTGACAGTTGCAGAAGAGGAATCAGTCAGGAGCTATTAACAGTTTAATTGATACACTTTTATGAAGAAGTGGGTTTTTAACGATTTTTTGAAGGAGTGGAGACTGGGTGAGCATCTAACGGAGGAGGGAAGTGAGTTCCACAGGAACGGTGATATTAATATTGGTGCCATGCATGATGTACAGACATTGAAAATCACATGGTGCAAATATAGCTCTGGTGGAGAAATGCTGTCATCTTCTTTATAAAATATTGTTATTACTTTTTCTTTACCCTTTATGCCCAGTTCTCCAGTGATGAGGCTCTGAATAAAAAATGTGCTATAATAAACAAGTATTCACAGTCATAGAGGAGTTTGTTTCTGAGCGAGTACGTGAAAGCACAAAAATATATATACCAGATCAGAAAATGGGAGATAGGAATAATTAGGTTTATCAATCAAAAGATTGGATCTGCTGTAAGACTTTCACATAAAGTAATAAAATAGGATGAAAAAGACTCCAGTCCATCAAGTTCAACCTTTCAAGAATGTAAAGAAGTAACTTAAAGATATGTATTATAACCTCGACACCCATCATGTCCTTTTCTTTCATTTAAATGTTTTAAAAAAGAAAAATGCAATTCTATTTGAAAACAATGTTTAAATGTTCATTAAGAAACAGACTCTGTCCCAGCACACACTGTTCTGGCATCTGATTCTTTGCCGTGCATCTAATGTCATCCTATTAATGGATATTTTCCTCTGACTTCCTATTAGTTAGAGTTTCTGTTAATCAAACTCTTATACAGAGCTGTGGTTTGTGTATCTGACCTCGGCCAATCACACCTGTACATACATTGTACATACACGTCCAACAATAGTTTGATATCAACTGTTATTGATACAAATACAATCAGAGATGCGATGTTAGTGCCAAACTTTACAAGACAGTCATGAATAGATTAGGTGGGCTATGAACATTATAAGTTACCTGAATTAAAGAATTTGACCAGCTGCAGCCATCTTGTTTTATAAGGTCTAAAAGACATTATTTCTTCTTGATGAAATGTATCTATCGACATCCAAATAGATTTCCCATAGTGTTCCTTGGTCTTAGCATTTCCAGGTTGACAAGTATGTTCTTAGGGAACTCAGTAG